ACATGTACATTTACCGGTACATACACTATTGTTTGTTGTTTGTAATAATAAGAATCATAATAATAAGTCTTGTGTAGCCTCATCAGTATTCATACTGTTCTCCCTGAGGGCCCTGCAATCATATTATTACTGGTACCCCGGTCATCGGATTCAGGCTTACCCGCACACAATGTATGCACATTCTCCACTCCCTGGGGAGCATTCCAGCCAATCTGTCTAATGTGATGGAAACAAGAATCTTTCTTGATTTGTAAACTAGAGTGATTTATTTTATGGCAAGAAATATTCACAAATTTCTAGAATTTGGTGTTGTGACAGACTGTCAGTTACAGTATTAATTATTTTTTGGCATGAAATTGAACCACATTCCTGAATCTGGGCCCCGTTTCATAAAACTTATTATTAATACCAAGTTACAAGAATTGTTATAAGCTACTGAAATCATTGCCTTTGATTGGCTGAGAACAAATTTATCTCAGAATTTGATCATATTTTGTTGATTTTTAGAAGTTCATGAATTTAGGGCTCTGAAACAATTTGCAAACATTTCACATGTGTGAAATTTTCAGGTTTCATAGTTAGCTGTTTGAAAAACAGATTTGTCAAGCCGAGTTTTCATAGACTTGACAAGGACGTACCATCTTTTTTTAGTGTTTCAAAATATGTGAATGAGCTGAGCTTTTTAAACTACCAGTAGTATCAAAATTCTTTCAAGCAAGTGATTGATACCGGTACTGTTATCAACAAAACTAGGTTTCCCCACTGAACTACCTGTAGGCACATGTTTTTTTTAATGGTGCAAGGAAATTATAGCCTACACACTCCAAAGTACACATGAAGGCCTCCATGTACAGTTGTACATGTAGAAAAAAAAAATGCTGTCCTCTGGCCCTCTACATATCTTTTATAACCAATAAATTATGTTATTTGTTGGTACATGTACCAATTAACTCATGTAAAGTACAGTACATGTAAAATGTACTTGTAGTCCTAAATGTACATGTACATGTATCTACTGTACATCTTCATACACTGTACATGTACATGTAAATGAAAATGTACATGTAGATTGTAGGTCCTTCCTAACAGGCCTAGTTTTACACAGACTGCTTTTAAGTCAACAAAGAAAGGCCTCATTCAACCCTGACACTTTGCTCACCCTATAAATAAGCATAAAATATCATTCCTAGGGTGATAAAAATATAACATCACAATCCCTCAGGTCTAGTGAACATTGAAATGTAAACATGGCAATTGAATTGCAATTAAAGGAAGATAAATGAATGAATCATCGACCGGCACAATCACTTGACACTGCTCCAAAGGTTGTCGCAATCACGTGTGGAAAGCAAAACAATGTCAAGTTCGGAGGACGGAGTATTTCCCAGCTGCTCGTTCTATGCTATGGAAGGTGACACATTCAATTGGAATGTCACAGGTCCATCTACATTACATCATTTACATGTACACATGTCTGTACTACTTCCACTACAAGCAAATTTTGTTCTCATGTTTCAGTGTTTTGTCAGAAGTTAATGGGCAACTATCTAAAAACACTACCAAAAAAAAAAAAAATTGAAAAACCCACCTCTAGAGTGTGGTTTTTTTAAATGCCTGCAGAAATTTCACAGATTTTTGCAGTATACATGTAAATGCTCGCTCTCTAAACACTGGTCAATGATTCTGGTTTTTGGTCACATGACTCTCCTTGCTCTTGTGCATTAGCATGCAGAGCAGCGACAAGTCGTGGATGCACACTACTCACAAAACCAGAATGAGCAAACACCAATGGATTTTACGGGCTTTTCCAGTAGAGTAAATGGCAGTAAAAAAAAAAGATAGTTTATAAAAATGATTTTGGGGCTGTGTAAATGGGCCTATTGTAGAAGTGCTTTCTTCAGGGGAACTCAATAAGCTTCTTTTTTTTTATGAATTGAAAGTATGAGATTTCCTTGACAACAATCTACAGTGTATATTCTCACGGCCTGAAGTGTTATATATATTTTTTTTTTTTTTTTTTTTTTAATGTTTTTATTTTTGTCTAAAGGCTCCTTTTTTAGCTTTTGTAGAACTTTAGTAAATTCTCTCAACATGTATCTGATTCTGTACAGAACAGTTTTCCCCACTGGTACATGTACATGAGAAAGTCTTGTACACAAAATAATTCATGCACCATGTGCAGTAATCAACAAAATTATTTTCAAAAATTGGATCAACTTATTTTTTTCAAAACAGTCACAAGTCTTCTACTTTTATCTGTTTTCCCCGCTGACACATGAAAAACAGGAAGTTCACAAAACTATTAACCAACTATTTTCCATGTCCAATGCAGACGTCACATGTTTGGCAATAATATGGTTTCCTCTAAACTAATTGCGACACCAGTGATTGACGGCGCGTTTTCCTCTTTCATGAAGTTTGTAAATTGTTTTCTTGAGTTTCTCTCAACTCTCAAGCCAATGTTTCTTTCATTCAATAAATCAATGCTATTTGTTTGTAGACAAAAAGAGCAACAATATCATCACATTGCTTTTGAGGTGGGTCCTTTGCAAGACAAAGATTAGAAACAATGGACTAGGGCCAGGAAGTATGCTGTTCTGGTTTCTATTGTGTTGCAGCAATGCATGTGATTTTCTTGAAGTTGTTATTTTGAGTTTACAAAATATACTTGTGTATATGTGTACATGTACATTCTATTTCTTTGATCTACATGTACATGTACATTACATGCATTTTTTAAAGTGAAAAGGTATTGTTCATGAATGTTTTGTACCCTTTATGTCACTCTCTTCTCTCTGATTTTGTTGTTCTAACAGTGAAAATTGTTTATGTTCATCCATCATCAAGCTACAGTGAGCCTACAGTAATAATTGGTTTTTAAATATACACATGACATCTAAACAAGGTGAAATCTAACAGTAACAGTGGTGCCACAACACTCCATAGATTCCAAATCAATAGAACCACAAATACCAATGCCTCTACGATGACAAAAGGCAAGACAATGATTTTTAATACGGAGTCGATGGAGAATGGCTTTCTTTCTGTGGTCATCACCATTTTCGTGGGAAGAAACAACCTTGAATGATGGCATTTGAATCAATCCCGCCTCTGTGTTATCTCACAAACATTTGTTGTTTTCAAATAACATTAAATCTTTGGTACTATTATTTGGAAATACACCTTCAGATTTTGTATTGAATTGGAAGAACAGGGAATAATTTTCCTGGTATCGCATCGCAATTTGCTATGCATTTTTGCATGACTGCTATACAAAATATCTTTTGTGTAGCAGTTTTCTTCCATAGAAATGTACAGAATTTCATTTGAAATATTTATCCATCGCCTGAAATTGCTAATCAAAAAATTTGAAGAAAATTATTCCCTGAAGAACAGTACTGTACTTGAAAATATACAGGACCTTGTGCATCAAACATTGCATTAGCTCTCCAGAAAATAATGCATTTCCACATGGGCAATTCTGATAGTTTGTTTTATGTGCCATTCACAGCTCCTGCATATTTTGCTATTTCAGTTTACATGTAAATCTTTATTAAAGTACATTTCAAAATAAAACGCTAAATAGTACATGTACTGCTATACATGAGTCACATGACTATGCAACCATATGAGCTTGAATTTTATCATGGAAGCCATTGGAAGGTGATGGGTTAAAAGCCAAAAAACTGGGACGGTGAAGGAGCACTGAACTTGAGGGCACATTCTTGTCATACCCCTGCTCCCAGGAAATTTGATTTATTTATTTCACAGCTGAACAAGCTGTCGAAAGCATGTCACAGGGGCGATACTTGGTTTATTATTGGCACAGATGACATCAAGATCTTGTCCTGTTCATATCTGTATACTGACAGCCTACACAAAACAGCTGCTCTGGGAGTTACCCTAATGAATAAACACTGTAGTCAATAATGGAGATAGCGCAGCAATATATAAATATGATATCACCCATTGACAGCCAGAAGGGTGTTACCTCCATGTTAAAGTATGGGTAACACCTTTCTGGATCTCAGCAGATATTCAAAATATTACTGTAAACAGATAAGGCTAATGTACGACAACAGGAAAGATTTATAACCCTAATGCCTTTGCTATCTTCTTCCATGGAACAGTCATCTTTCTACTCATAAGTCCCAGCACAGGAGGTACACTGTCCTCACCATAGCGTTTGGAATCTTGAGCTTTAAAAAATAAGACTGAAATTGATAAGCACTTCCCAACCAAGGAAACCAGTCCCGTTTTTCATGAGCCTGATGCCACGTCATTACTCTTTACTGTAAAGCTGGGTAAATTAGTGGCCTATTAATTGGGTTAATATACCCAGATCAGTGGCGTCAGTGTTACTTTTACTCTTTGGGTAATGAAAATACACCTCATGATCGATATGTGGAATTTCTGGCAAAGCTGCTCACTTCCTCTCCCCCCCCCCCCCCCCCCCATTCAGACTAACCAAAACTTATTGTAAGGCTTTACATGTACGAAAACTGCTTAATTCTTACCAGTCTGAACGTTGAATAATAAAACATTGCATATTAAAGAAACATTGTTGTATCATGAAACAGATGGTTGAGCATCATTTTCGAACAAAAATTCGAAAAAGAATCAGGGTCACTCACTCTCTTGTCTGAACGCTGCATCGTACAACAATTATAGCTGTTTAAACTGTTTAAAACTGGGTTTAAAACTACATGTACATGTACCACATGTACTGTACTGTACCTGACCTGTACATGTCATCTACATGTAACCTCTTCTAAACTAGTTTCCTTGTAATGATGGTGTTTTGGGGTACAATATCCCTCTTCATAAATGTACCGGTACACCCCTGCTGCTGCATGAACTATGATGATTCTTTATTAAAGGAACGTTTCTTTATCCAAAGTTGGTATAAATTCCCCTAGTCTGAACAGGCCATCAGCATCCTGGAGAGAGGGGAGGAGGGGGGAGGAGGGGGAGGAGGGGGAAAACAAAAAGGCACTCACCTTTTGGCTCTTTCTAAATCATCGTTTGTCTGCTCGAGTTCCCTGATGTATTTTTGAAGTTCCTCCCGGATGGCCTTAATTTGTGCTAGTTCATCCTGCAGCTCGTTGATTTGCCGTAAGTAGTTATCCTGGGACATCTCCAGTTTCTCCTGCATGATGAAAAAGTTTGAGTTTTGTCTTTAACACAGAAAGCAATTATATCACATGATAATGATGACGTAATGAGACTGGGGTCAAAAATAGGTTTGCTCTTCTCAAGGGGCTCCTTCATATCCAGTTTTCCTCCAATACAAGTACTTTCGCTTCCTTCAATTTTATGCAAATAGACAAAATTTGTGATAAAACTTTAGACGATCATAATAAACAAATGTTGACAAAAATTCTGGATCCATCCATATGCATCGAAAGTGAAATCACTGAGATCTGAAGAAAACAAAATCCTACTACAAGAAATTTATAGATTATTTAGTGTTTCTAAATCTGAGTAATTTGCACTAGTGCTGTAGTCAAACGTTTAACCGTCCGGTATCCGACCGCCCATGGCGGATTCCGTTTTCAATTGGACGGTTTCGTTATCCCGTTTTTTTTTTTTTTTTTTTTTTTTTTTGTTTTTTTATAATTTTTTTTTTTTTTTTTATAATTTTTTTTTTTTTTTTTTTTTTTTTTTTAAAGTTTCGATTTATGCCCCTCCGCCTGGCACTATGCCTGGCAATGTCTCCCAGCTCAGTAATCGGTGTGATGACTTACCACTTGGAAACTAGAACAACACTCCAATTTGTCTGTCATCTTGGTTTGAAAGTAATCTTTGTAATAGATCTCAATATATATTCATCCAAGTTTAACACATGGTGTACCACAAGGTTCTATCCAAGGTCCTCTACTCTTTTTAATTTACTTTAATGATCTTACACATTATTCTAAAACGACATTGTTACTATTATTTCTATTATTTGTGACAAGTTCACAAGCACAAATCGGCACCTTCAGTTAAATCACCTTCCTGCTTTTTCACACAGCCAAAAAAAAAAAAAAAAAAAAAAATGATTTTTTTTTTTTTTTTTTTTTTTTTTTTTATTTATTTTTTTAAATAAATCGTTTAACCGAAAACCGTCCGGTTTTGACAGGCGGTTAAACGGAATTGGAGATATCCGTGATGTTACAGCACTAATTTGCACCCCAAACAATAAAAAGTAGATGTTAATGTACTACATGCTTGTATCATCACACACAAGACATGCAGTCAAAGTGCTACCCTGTACCTGTATTACAAATTCCACATAATTTTATATCTTACCTTTAAATTATCACATTCTGTTGATAATCTTTCTTTAGTAGATGCGAGATCTTTGACCTTAGACTCTGACTGTTCTAGTTGTGTTTCCAGCTCTGCTTCTAACTCCTGACTACTGATCTGATATTCCTCTAGCTCCTCCTTCGTCTCACTCAGACTAAAATGTTGAAAACAAGAGAGAGAGAAAAATGACAAGAGAAAATCTTTATTAAGCAATGATAACACAGAAATTATGAAAGTGAATTAGTTTATTTCGACTTCAGACTCATTGTCTAAAGTGTGAATTACATTTTAATAGAAGTTAAATTAAAAAAAAATCAAAGATTACAAGTTTCTTTTTATCCATGATGCACAACATACAGTAGTAGTGTACCTGTACTACATTTGTGTAATGTCACTTCACAATGCCTACAGCATATCTTAGTATAAGATGTTTTTGTGATGCACACTACATGGGTATTTTTTAATATCCTAACATAGTAAGTTAGTAACAGCAGTATTCAAAGCTGTCAGGTTAAAAATGACACCAATCATCAAAGACAGTGCGTACAGAATTGGCTCAATGAGTTAGTTTTACCATGTACTGTACATGTATTTGCCATAGACAACGTGTACACTCCCAACAGTATTTATCTCAATATAAGCATCAGTCGAGACTGGGCATGAGCTTTGAGTGACAGAATAGTTATTTGCAAAGCCAAACACATTTTGACATTTTCACAAAAAAGTTATGATGAATGGAGCCGAACCTAAAGCTAATATTGAAACACGATTGGCTACACATCAATTGATGCAGACATTCATGATGTACATGTAGAGGTGTACGTGTACAGGTACATGTACATGTACATGTAATATCGGTATTGTACTACCGGACCGGTATACAGATGTAAGTCACAATAGATCTACATGTACATGTACATTTTGTGTACAGGTACACTATAATCAGGAACCAGTATGATTGACAAGAATGCCTGATATCTACAGTGTACATGTACACTACATGTAAATGTAGTAATGTTTGTCTGATAAATACATTCGCACCTCAACACTGGTACATGTACATGTAGTCTGGTACAATAATACAATTACGTACATGTACATAACAATGTAGTCATTATCTCATGTACATTTGGGGATTATTCAGTCATCAACAATCAATTCTATGAAAAAGAGACATAATAGTAATTAAAAAGGTTAAGAGGATAAGGATGGCCTTAAATTCTCCATCTTTGCTTTCATGTAATACATGTATGCAACAACCATCCAGACGAGGACATACTGTACTGTACATGTACACATGCACATGTACAAATGTAAATACACTGGGTACTCACAAGTCTACATGTACAGTGTACCTGGACATGTACATGTACAGTACATGTAGATCTCATTTAAATTAATCAATTAGCCCTTTTTCAAGATCTCTCTGTGTCCACAATTCTCCCCCATTCTCATCCCAACCCTGTCCATCTTTCCCTTCATCCATCTACAATGTACATGTACCACTCCCCCTCTCCCTCTATCCATCTCTTCCTCTCTCCCTCTTACAACCTCTTCACCCCCCCCCCCCTTGTATCTCTCCCTCTCTCTCTGTTAGATAATAAGCATGGTGTTGATGGACATATCTAGTTTTCTATCCTATCATCAGTAATTATATCTGAGCAAAAAGCCGGTATCGTGAGGACAACTCAAATGTAAATATCACAGCCTACTGATGGAAGAGGGCTCTAGAATGGCATTCATGGAATCTGTGATGATTACTGGGTAGAGAACAGGAACTGGTATCTCAATCGATGACGTGGAAGTTGGCAGCCACCGGAATCCTACTGGCTGCTTTGGAAGCATGCACACATTAAAACACCATTCAATTTACTATACAATACAACATGATGTATCATCTAATCATCTTCATAGAAATGATATTTCAAAGCTTATAATGTAAATGCATTTACAATTCAGAGTCTAGATGACTGATAGAAATGTAGAATTTACTTTGAAGGCATTCAGATTTAACTACAATGTACATGTACATGTACATGTAGCAGAATACAATATCATTTACAAACATGTAACAGTTCACAATGTACAAAAACTGTATTCAGGTACAATGTACATGTACATGTATGTAATTTCTGTTTTTCTTTTCAAAATTCATCAATTCAAAGGGAAAAGTAGAGGGGATTCAGTTCTTGCTTGGTGGAAATACTGGATGCATCTGCAATCAAAGAGTCATGTTTCCACTGGTACACTAGTATTATAAATGCTGTGTTTACTGTAGTGTTGATAAAAATATGCTTATTTTTTATAAATGTAATGCTTCCTTGGAGAAATTATTTGGAGGAAGTATTTAAAGTACATGTATATTTGTGGCTTACACCCAGTAAATAATATTGATTGATTGATCTGTATTGAAAAACAATTCAGAAAAATCTTGGAACCAGCGGGACTTGAACCTGCATCTACTGCTTGCCGGGCAGCGACTCTACCACCAGGCCATCACTGGTCCATGGTACAGTCAAGATGAACTAGAAACAAATACCCAAGCTCTCCTGATTCATTCTGACTTTATATTCATTAGTCCGCCAAGGACAATAACTTTTTATAAATGTATTGCTTCGTGGGAGAAATTTCAATCATTTAAACATATTTGTGGCTTACACCCAGTAAATAAGATCGATTGATCGATCTGTATTGAAAAACAAGTCAGAAAAAATCTTGGTTAAAGTCCCGCTGGTTCCAAGATTTTTTCTGACTTGTTTTTCAATACAGATCGATCAATCGATCTTATTTACTGGGTGTAAGCCACAATGTACAATGTACAGTAAGCCACAAATATGGCAAGACATTAATTTACACTTTTGCCACACTCGACCCAGGTGAGATAAATGTAAAATGGGTATGCTGTACCTAGAAGTAATTAATTCTTTACAATGCTAGAGCACCACATTGGTAGCCTCAGACAGGTTTGGCTGTTTATAGTAAAAATGACCCGAGACATGACTGAAAGATTTTATTGGGTTGTGGTGGATTTTAGCTTTTCTACATGTAGGCTTGCTTTTGTTTCAAGCACTTGCAATTTCTAATGTTGCAAAACTATTTAAATACAGTACAGTTATGTGTTAGAGTACTTAAAAGTTATATACATTACGTATTGAAAAATATTATCACCTTTTCTCTCTTACTTATTGCTCATGAATGTACAAGGTCAAGACTTTGTACATGTGCATGGCTGCATGCAATAGTGAGCTCAGGATATGCTGTATAGCCCGTTTGAACCCTCAGGTACATTTAAGTGAGATCAGTATGTGGGACTGTGTACATGTACTGGCACTTATTGCTCATGAATGTACAAGGTCAAGACTTTGTACATGTGCATGGCTGCATGCAATAGTGAGCTCAGGATATGCTGTATAGCCCGTTTGAACCCTCAGGTACATTTAAGTGAGATAAGTATGTGGGACTGTGTACATGTACTGGCAGCTGCAGTCCACTTCTCAGTTCATCAAAGAACGAAATCAACAACAACAACCATTTCTTCAAATGCACAATGATACACATGTAGGTACGTGTACTGTATGTTCTGAATTAAAATAAAAATGATACTGGTATACAAAATATTCAATACCCTGAACTAAAAAAAAAATGAAAACATTGAATTACATGTACACTGTATATCAGCCTCAAGAAGAGGTTTTGGACTTCTTTTTAATTTTGTTTTTCTTTTTTGGTATTATGTTTCTAAATAACTCCAGCCTTAATGGGTATTTAGTCAATTGGTGTCACATGTAAAGTACATGTACATTATACCAAATATTGCCAATAGTATTGGGAGTTCTGCACATACACTGTATATGTACATGTACATGTATACAGTTGTAGTCACACTATCATTTACGGTGTACATCGAATGATCAAATGTGTCATTTCACTTAGAATTTCACTTTCAGTTTGGTCTGAATTAAGATTAAGTAGGGGCTGTTATTCAGCCTTACCACTTAATGTTTATTATAATCACCATCAATTTGACATCATACATGTACATGTAGGTACATAGAAAGGTCACCTGTCTACAGTGGCCCTTGGTGACCTTAATAGACAGGTTTGACTGCATTTTTAAAAAAAAACAATGCCAAGGGCAATATTGATAATGTTACTGAGTGTACAGTAGCATTCACATCACACATGTTTATTCAGCAGTTTACAGAGTCAGAAATAATGTCTATTTTTTAAAGGAAAATCCAACCATAACAATAGCAGATTAGATAGCAGTTAGACAGCTTAAATTTAATTAAACTTTAGACTAGATCTAGACCTATTCTTACTTTATACCTGCCTGGCCTAAATAAAAGAGTGAACAAGACAGACATCATTTTGATTTTCTTATCAATTAAGTCTAACTTTAGATTCTAGATTCTATTTCCTGAGATTAGTTCGTTTTTTGTTATGTTAATGTTATCATTTATCAGATTCAGAAATCATTGGAGTGAAATTTGAATTGGAATGGAAGGCAAGCGCAGACATCACCGCACCGGCAAACGCCGGGTGTGTACAAATGCATGTACAAAACGGGGACCCGCTACGAGCTACGCCTTGCGCCGCCTGCCTTGCGGCGAAGCGATCAACACACTGTCACCCGTAGTAAGGCACTGCCTCGCAAATCTTATTCTGTCGCACTACAAAATTACCTTGTTTTCAATTCCTGTGCCTTATTTTTCCAGTATTCCAACTCCTCAGCCTGTGAAGAAAATGTTGGGATGTCCTCGTCATCCATAGTTAATCCTTACGTATATCCAAAAGGGCTAAATTGGCGTAAAATTGATCCAAGATGGTCTCATTTGGCGAGAATAATGGCCTGTGCTTCCAAATTAATACGTAATTTGAAAGATGTGCTAGATAGAAAAATGACACACAACTTGCACTAAAAACAGCACCGACTGCACTGTACGCTTTAGTGTTGATCTTAGCATTGTATACTTGAATTGTACTGACGCAAAATCTACGACATTCAATTCGGCTAAAATAATTTGGTGGTAAATAAAGTGGCGTTCGGTCTGAAAAAAAATGAGTAAACAAAAAAATTAATAATACAAGAGCAGGGACTACGGAGCTTTCTTCAAAGTGGAGGGCAATATTAAACACAAAAGGGCACTTTTGCGAAAATGCGAAAAAAATGCAACCTTTAGACATTGGTAAATAACGTACAGGGAAGATTTCCTTTTGCAACAGCCACCCAAATAGAAAAAAAGATATGGGTACAGTTTAGAATGATATATCTAATAATAATATGATACATAAAACAGGATTAGGGTTAGGGTTAGATCTTAGATGGCTCCCTCGAAAGTACATCTTACCAACGTACACTCTAATAAAATATTTTATCAAGGAATATCAACGTTTTACTCTCACTTATCATACTTTGTAGTTTTAAGTGACAGTCTGAATATTAATTTTGGGAGAGAGCTAGCCATAGGCGCCGGAAGTGGGGGGGGGGGGGGGGGGGGGGGGGGGGGGGGGGGCATTTTTGCCCCCCCCCCCCCCCTCCCCGAAAAAATGCAGTAAAGGAGCAAAGATGGTTTCTATTTAGTATTTTTTAACTAAAAAGAACATACAAAATAATAAAACCTGAATTGAATCACATATAAATTATATTCCATTCAAAGAAAAGGAAAGTTAACAGGAATTAGATTTCTTAAGCATTTCGCATGCCCCTATATCAACGGAGGATTTTATAAGAGCGATACGCGCATATTGTGATAATATCGTGAGAGGATGGGAAAGGGGTGTGTTCTTTAGTATAGGGGTGAGAAGACATGAGCCCCTAAACACTGGCGTACTGATGGGGTGCGTTTTTTTTATAATTCGATACCAGTGATTTACAAATGTAGCTGAAATAACATGATTTTCCGGTATTTTTTCTCAATTTTTTGTGTGAATCATAGACCTACATTAATGTATTTGTTGAAAAATTACAAATTCCCAAATTTACAGTCGGGCTAAATAATACGCTCATTTAGAAGGAGTGACCTGCCAATGTCACAAATGAGGGATCAACATATGCTCATCAGACATCTGACCGTAATTAAATGCCTAAAACCCTGAGCTGACGGGGGCCGCCTCCTGGACCCCGCCAAGGGCCCTCAGGCGGCCCCCTGGATGCTAATCTGACCATAATTAAATACCTAAAACCTCTGAGCTTCCAGGGGCTCTGCCCCCTGGACTCCACCAAGGGCCCTAAGGCGGGCCCCTGGATGCTCCTCTGACCGGAATTAAATACCTAAAACCTCTGAGCTTCCGGGGGCTCTACCCCTTGACCCCCGCCGAGGCTGAGCTCCTGGACCCCACGCCAATTTATATTCCACTCGTTTCGCTTTCTAAACTCTATCTGATTGTTAGTACTCCATGCACTTTGAAAAATGTTCGCGAGGTCTGCATGTAACACGTTAAAGTGGTGGTTATGCACAATTATAATTATGAAAATGAATTATTCAAAGAAGGGGCATTTATTTCTTAAAAGTGTACAGATCGTTCTTATGAAATTTAGCGCAGTGTCTGCTATAACCCAATATTTGTAGTGGTAACAATAGACGTACATGTTACTTCAAAAAGCTGCCCACCCCCAGATGTTTTCTATCTAGGTAGGCCTATGACTTTCTAGAGTGTCTGCAATGGGAAATATGATAATAATAATAATAATGATGGCTTCTTATATAGCGCAAAGGCCGTCAAGTTGTGACGCTCCTGGCGCTGTCCCGATTATTACCCTGGCTTTAGCAAGGCAGCCACTGCGGCACTCTAGCATTTCAAGGAATTAATTCCTGCCAGGTACCCATTTACATCACCTGGATTGAGTGTGGCAAATGTAGATCAATGTCTTGCCAAAGGACATTAGTGCCGCGATGGGACTCGAACAGCGGACCTTAGGATCGACAGTCCGTCGACGTATCCGCTCGACCACGACACATAATAGATAGGGAAAAGGGAAAAGAGACAAAAATTAAAAGGGAAAAGGGAAACCCATCAAGATTCACACATTTGAAACGGGGCACTTATCATGCTTATTATAGATTTGAAAACGCACTTAACGGAAAAGGGAAACTGGGAAAGGCCACTCTTTGAAAAGGTAAGGGGCACTTGTTAGAGTAAAGAGCCTAAAGGGACACTAATCGGATCAGAGGTTAAAATGGGCATGTATGAGAAGGAAAAATGAACATTTTTGTTGGTGAATTTGTGCATAAATTAAGCTGCCCTATAGCTATATCTCAAACTGCATGAGCTACGTGGAGGGATTACGAAATGTTGTCAGAGAGTGGCTGAATGAGAGAAGGGCTCGCCTTTAAGTTGCACGAGAAGTGTTGAAATAATTATTATGAAGGAAAACAAAATCTAAATGCGTCTTTTATAATGAACACAAGTAGGTCCTACTATGAAACTTTTCTTCATCTATTCATTTGATTGATGGCTAAAGCCCGCCCCCCCCCCCCCACTCAGTTATAGTGTACGCATATGCTTGTTCCCTCTTTTTGAAAGCACCCCCTATCTGAGGACTGCCAACATTTCCGAACCCCCCCCCCTTTCGCGGGCTTTTCACGGGCTTTTCCTGCCTTGGAGACCCCCCTAAATCATGAAAAATGCTCAATGTACCCCCCTAAATTAGAAATAATTTCTCAGGAGTCCAAAGAGATGAGAGAAAAAAGAAAAAAACACCCCCTTTTTAAAGAAATCTCCGGGTGAAAAGTTAATACACCCCTTTTTTTTTTTTTTTACAATTCTCGGGCCGGACTTTGTCAACATTTTGGTAACACGCATGGGGTCCGTCCGTTTTCGGAGTGGGGGGGGGGCGTTATTTTTTTATGCGGCACAGATTGGGGTTAGGTGCATGTTGAGCCTATGGGAAAGTTTAGGGTTAGAGTTAGGGTTAAATTAACACCTCTTTAAAAAAAAAAAAAAAAACCCAATCTGTGCCGCAGAAAAAAATGACGCGGGCCGGGGGCTAAAGGCGCTAGGTGGAAGAGGAGACAACACCGACACCGTTTGACGAGGTGTTTTGAACTGAATTGAATAAATCGTGGCAAAGAAAGCTCCCCATTATCATTATTGACCACAGATTTGACAAAATTGGAAAAAATTATTTTTCCAATAGCAGAGAATAAAATAAAGCTTGCCGACAGTATTGTTCAAATTATTCCATCATGACTTCTATAAAAATGTACACGAACTTATGTGCTGATTGAAGACTTGTAGTGCCGACATATAAATGTGAATAGGGGGGGAGGGGTGGATCGCCAGATACAATAACCTAGCGCCTAGGCCCCATCGCATATAACCCCCATAAAATTATACCCCGGGACAATTTCCCCCGGAAATTTACGTACCGCCAGGAAAATTACCCCCCTCCCCAAAGAAAATTACCAATCACCTCCCCCCCCCCCCCCCCCAAAAAAAAAAAAAAAAATCTGCTTTGATTAACACCAACTTATTATTATGAAGGAAAACAAAATCTAAATGCGTCTTTTATAATGAACACAAGTAGGTCCTACTATAAAACTTTTCTTCATCTATTCATTTGATTGATGGCTAAAGCCCGCCCCCCCCCCACCACTCAGTGTTATTTAGGGTACGCATATGCTTGTTCCCTCTTTTTGAAAGCACCCCCTATCTGAGGACTGCCAACATTTCCGAACCCCCCCCCCCTTTCGCGGGCTTTTCACGGGCTTTTCCTGCCTTGGAGACTCCCCTAAATCATGAAAAATGCTCAATGTACCCCCCTAAATTAGGAATAATTTCTCAGGAGTCCAAAGAGATGAGAGAAAAAAGAAAAAACACCCCCTTTTTAAAGAAATCTCCGGGTGAAAAGTTAATACACCCCTTTTTTTTTTACAATTCTCGGGCCGGACTTTGTCAACATTTTGGTAACACGCATGGGGTCCGTCCGTTTTCGGAGTGGGGGGGGGGCGTTATTATTTTATGCGGCACAGATTGGGGTTAGGTGCATGTTGAGCCTATGGGAAAGTTTAGGGTTAGAGTTAGGGTTAAATCAACACCTCTTTAAAAAAAAAAAAAAAAGCCCCAATCTGTGCCGCAGAAAAAAATGACGCGGGCCGGGGGCTAAGGCGCTAGGTGGAAGAGGAGACAACACCGACACCGTTTGGCGAGGTGTTTTGAACTGAATTGAATAAATCGTGGCAAAGAAAGCTCCCCATTATCATTATTGACCACAGATTTCACAAAAATTGAAAATAATTATTTTTCCAATAGCAGAGAATAAAATAAAGCTTGCAGACAGTATTGTTCAAATTATTCCATCATGACTTCTATAAAAATGTACACGAACTTATGTGCTGATTGAAGACTTGTAGTGCCGACATATAAATGTGAATAGGGGGAGGGGTGGATCGCCAGATACAATAACCTAGCGCCTAGGCCCCATCGCATATAACCCCCATAAAATTATACCCCGGGACAATTTCCCCCGGAAATTTACGTACCGCCAGGAAAATTACCCCCCTCCCCAAAGAAAATTACCAATCACCTCCCCCCCCCCCCCCCCCCCCAAAAAAAAAAAAAAAAAAAAAATCTGCTTTGATTAACACCAACTTATTATTATGAGGGTGGACTTCCTTTTTTGGTCGGGGGGGGGGGGTGTCAATGGGCGCCAGCAGCGCTAGCAAGCTATAGCTAGCTCGATCGGCGACGCGCGCGCCTGCGCACATCGCGCATATTCGATCACTGGATATGGCGACTCGAGTAATCTCCCCAGCCCGAGAGGCCTGGAGAAAAGGTATTTTACTCTTATTTTACTACTTATAAAGCATGTAGTTATTTTAGAATTATCTTTGGTGTTGAACCTATGTGTTACTATAATATTTGAAGCAAAATTAACCTTGTTACAGTCTTACAACT